CAGAACTAAACTTTCATCTCCAATTCTTTAATACACCAGAGTCAGGTAAGAGGAGGTAAAAGATCTCAGTGATAAACACAAAGAATAAAAATTAAACAAACAAACCTAATGAATTCCATCTCTTTGAACTGCTCAAACGAAAATCAATTCTTTTCATCAGCATCTCCCTCTCATTCTTTTCTCCCTTGTTCTCAGTCATCTTCTTGTAATGTGATGGGGCACGACAGGGAAACGTTGTCATCTTAAGGGCTGAATCTTTGCAAGGAGGGGAAGAGTTTGACAATACCCTACCTCACTTAAAATGGAAGTCAGCTGAAGTATGAGAAGCAGTTTTCTCAGTCTTCATATAGTTTTACTCTCTCTTCAACTAAACAGAAAGGGGAAAGAAAAAAAGAAAAAGAAATCAGAGCCAGAAACACAGAGGGGAAAGCCACAGTTCTGCTTCTAAACACCAAGCAAGAAGTTATATGTTCTAATCCAGGAAAAAAACAACATACTTATTTCATCAGAAGTTCTATTTCAAGAAGTCCCATGAGTAACAACAGAAGAAGCTTAGTTCAGTCAAAGATTATCAAGGTTGTTCTCTGTTTAGTTGGCCTGCAAATTACCAATCACCATTTTAAAATGTAAAGGAGTTCCTAAAATAAGCTGTAGCATTAAAGGGTCATGAAACAACCATATTCAAATTATTTTCATGCATCAGATTTGAACTTCAGTCATACTATCATCCCATACAACAACAAAAAAAAAAAACCTGACAGATACACATGGCTGCACGTTGGCTCCCTTTCACACTCATTTTGCAAATCACCAAGGACTATGTCTCATATTCTATATTTCTATTTCCTTGTTCACCAATGAACATTTTCAAAGTTGGCAAGAGATGCTGTCCTCTTTTAGGCTCCAATCCACCAACTGCAGAGACCAGGAGCACTCCAAGCCACATGTGGTTGGCAGGTAAAGTCATCTGGAAAAGCAGCAGCACTTCATCATTCTGAACACTGATCCTGCCTATATCACATTCTTTTTGAGTCTCCTTTGTGCTCCTCAGCATCACGCAAGTCAAATCAGAAAGGTCATAGTTACTCAGAAACCACACTGGTAGGAGAGAAAGCAAGGGAGAGGAGCTTATCAACACTTATCTGTGAGAAGCAGGACTGAGTTTTCCATCCTGAACCCTGCTGCTGGAGGGAAAAGATTTAGCATTTAATTTATTAATAACTGCATACAGTCTATACAGTATAAATATAATTACTTGCATATAATCTAAAAGCAAAACACAAGCTGTGAGAACAGCCTTTGAAAAGAAACACTTTGCATATTGTGGCATGTTATCAATATATGTACGAGCATATTTATTCCACTTTTACCTGCTCTAAGACAAACTCAACACAGTGCATTCATTTAGGTATAAGTCGAACAGGTTTACTAAAGAACTTGTGGCAGTTCTCTGCGTGCTGCACACAGCTTTCTCATGCTGCCAAAGCTGTCAAACCCCCACACTCCTTAAAGAGAGGCGGCGTGGTGAGAGGAAAGGCCCAGAGCATCACCCTCACAGCCTGCAGGAAACCCAAACAAGAGAGGAAAATTAAAAGCCTGGCTTCAAGCTTTCTACTGCACACAAAAGTGCATACTGAGCACAATTAGATCTACATATGGCAACATTATGACCACAGGTCACAAATGAATATATACACGCTTTCTGAAACATAAATGAAAGACATTAGTAGAAATACCAACTACAAAAAACAAAGGACTTTTACCTACTTATCTCACTCTTTGAAAGTTCAGTCCCATGTTCTTTTACGGCTCTAAAAAAGAGAAAGTAAATTTTTTTTATTCTCAAGAAGGATTCCTAAGGGGAGTTTTGGTGCTGTCCAAGCCTGAATCTCAGAAGAAATAGAGATGTATTACAAAGAGCTTACCCAGACCCCTGTACAAGTGTTTTACACTTAAATAACCTCTACAACCTTCTAAAGCTTTTGAGAACAAATCACACTCTTTTATTTCACCCTGAAAACAAAGACAGAATCCTGTAACAAATACCAGGGAACAACAGAAGAACACTAACCTTACCCTTCAAGGGAAAGCCAGAACACAGAAAAAGTAAAAATCTTTTGAAAACCAACCACTGCTGGAAACTCGTTAAGACACCTGGGGAAGGGACTATTGGACAATGGGAAAAAGCAACACCTGTGGCTGAACAATTAGTAGGCTGTTGCAGTTCTCATGGATGTTACATTTTTCAATGTATGCACAAGTGCATGGTTTGTTTTGGTCAGTTTTCTTTTAAACTGTTGAAGAAGGAGGTTCACACTTATAAGCGTGTTTTTGTAGGTGCATCATTAATAGATATCCCTAAAAGCCAGCTCTGATGAGTACGTGGCCAGCATGCCAGGGAAGAGAAAATTATGGCAAATCAAACATGAGGATCTTCACGGTAGATGACATTGTACATATCTTACAGTAAGCAAAAGTTATAAATATAATCCTTATTCTCAGTGGTTTCTTTTGCTTTCCTATATTCTATAACAAAAGACCAATTCATCTTAAAAGGAAAAAAAAAAGTAATTAGTGTTGAAGTAGTATTTACTGAGTGAATGGAAGGATGATTTAAATAGAAGGTGAAAAGAGTTGGAAGAAGCATGGATCACGAGCACCTGCTCTTCTTTCTTTGTCTTTTACTTGGCCTTGTACTAGGCCTGCTCTCTCCTCTAGTGCTAGCATTCAGCATGCCTCTTCTCTTCCCCATCTTCTGAGCAACTGGACTTGCCTCATAATCTATGATATAATTGAATTTTAATATTTAATTTCCTTGGGCAAAATCTGTTTGGTATGTCTGGAAGTTGTACTGGCATAAAACTAATCCTCTTTTTTTCCTTTGTAGACATCTATTACAGTAGCCTTTGCACCTCGTCTCAGCTCCAGCAGCTGTTTTCTGAGCAACAGAAACTCAGTTGGAGGGTTGTGACAATTCCCATTATATCATGCACAGTTCTTAATGTCAGATTACCCGTGGCACTTAAATTCTTACTTTGATTTTCAGAAGCACTACCACGTGTTTGAAAATGGAGAATCTTTGAATAACAGCCCCATATTAACTCTTGTCTCCAGGCCATCCCTTGTGAAAAACTTATCGCAGAGGTGCCTCACCCTGAAAAGAAAAGTTCGGGCTTTGCTGAAATGTACTTTTTTCTTATCACATCTATTTTTAAAATTCGCCAGAGCACATTCATCCTGGAATGAGGAGCTAATTATTTGTGTCAAGATGTGTAGGAACCTGAATAAAAGGAAGATTGGTTTGGAGTTGTGTAGTACCTTCTCAGGCAAACAAAAGTCTTCACTGAAGGAAACGAGGGCTGGGTGGCATGAGACATAAACTTCCAGTCTTCATGTTCCCTCCAAGAAGAAAAGATGCCTATAAATGTTTGAGGTGTGCATTAAAAAGAACACCTAGGAGGTTAGAGAACCTATTGTCTGCTACAAACATCAGCACTCTTCTACAAATATGCTGACCACCATTGTCTACCATACCATTCATGTGCAGGCACTGTACCAACGGTTGCATTCCTCCTTTGCTATGCTGAGCTGGGTGAGTTTCTGTTTTTCATTTTCCTGTGCTATAGGATATTTTGGGGTTAGTGAGGTCTGAGGCAAAAATGAGCAGAAACCACAAAGCAATTATCAAAAAAGCAGGGCTGAGCAAATAGTTTATCTTCTCTTGACTGTGAGGCTTCCTTCCTCAGAATAACAGACCAGGCTTCAGCGATCCTGTCAGCTTGCACGAGATACAGGAAATGCCTGCTAGAAACCCATTTCCTCTATGTCCTAAATGGATGTGACAACACTGTCTCTGCCAGCCTGCTGCCTCAGCACAGCTGCATTTTCTGTCACTTCTGAGAAGAAACTCAGCTTATTAAAGAACAAGATCTGATCCATTACCAGAAGTAATTCAAGGAAGTGAGAGACACCAGGACTGCTCTACCTCACATAGTAGAAAATCACCCAGATTCAGGCCCAAAGACAAGAAGCTTCTTGAGCAAATCCACGTTTCCTTTAGGATAATGGAGACTCTGCTGACTGCCAGTATTTGCTGTTCTATACTGTTGAGGTCACAAATATGCCAAAGCCTGCAAATTCTGAGAAGCCAAGCACTTTGGGGGTAAAACAACAACAACAAACCACCAGAGACCAATAAACAAATGGAGATAAAAACAGAGTAGAAAGCATGGTTGAGCTTTGTGCTTAGTTTAAGGCCCAAGATGTTTTCCTTCTGGGCTGGTACAGTCTTCTGAGGTCCAGATCTCATCAGACTACATTGGCTTCTACCTGCAGAGATCCACCAACACAAGAGGGTTCCAGCAAAAAAGGGGTACTTGTTCATCTGGAGGTGTTTGATATCAAACCACAACTCCATAACATGAACACAACTGCAGAGAGTTCCTTAGGCAAGAGTGAAAGGCACAGTATTGGTATAATATTGCTAGAAAGCAACAAGACATACGTAGGCCATCAACCCTCAGGTACATTAGATTAGATCTCTTCAGACTTGCTTTCTATTATCTATTTTTGCTGTCTGTGTGAATGAGATGATAATGCATTCCCTTTCTCTTCCAAATGTGGTAAAAAAACCACAAACTTATCAGCAGTCTGTTACTGTATTTATAGCTTTCCATTGTGCAGATAACCATATCAACCCAAATGCATACAGTGGATCACCAAAGTTTTGTTTTCATGTTAAATCAAAGCATCACACCCTGGGAGATTATCATCACCAAGCTGGTCCAACAGACCAAGGCACAGTCCAGTTACTGCAGAAGCTGCTTGTACTACTGCTTTACCGAAACAAGAACAGCTTTTGTGATAATACAGCTTCCATGAGCCAGATGAAGTTTCTTCCTGAACATTAATGAGGCTAAAGTAGCAGCTTCTCCTGGCTCTGTTTGCATGGTATATGTGTGAACAGGGTAAAAACACATATAATGAAACAGAACTAAAGATAAGCTTTAGAACCATATTTATTTCTGAGTTTCAAGAAATTTGAATAAAAGTTCTTCAGGATAAGGAATCTAATTACTTTTTTTAAGTTTCTTTTTAACTTCTTTTTTTAAGAAAAAGGCTACATGCAGAATCTCACATGATGACATCCAGTTCTTAGCTCTATTGCATTACTTGGAAAGCTGAACATGGCAGTAGAAAGACAGGCTAGTAAAGAAGAAAGGTAAAGAAGAAAGTTTGTCTTGGGAATCCCTTGAGTTATTAGAAGATACTCAAACAGTAAAGGCTGAATCATAAGTGGCTATTCCTTGTGTACAGATAGCAACAAGATCCTGTCCCCTCTTAGTGGTGAAATTCTCGCTATCAGCAGTGGCAGCAGGAAAAGGCATAAGATATAACCTTCCCAAGGTATACTGAATACTACAAGAAGCACACACTAATGTAACATTCTATGCTATAATTTAGTAAGATACTTTCCTCTTCTGTTGCGGTAGTGCCCACTACAGAACTGAAACTTATTCCCCCCCTCCCAACCCACAAGCCTTAGGAGGCTTTTCTGGTTGACACGACTTTATCTCAGTGAAAAGCTAAAATTCTCATTTTGTTTTGAGCAACCAGTTTCAGTTGTCCTTCTTCTCGCTGGTGGATCATCTTCATTTCCCAGTCCTAGCAACTGTCTGAATTGCTTTGATCCACTCTGTACGCTCTGCGGATGAAGCTGCTTGCAAGTAATAGTGGACTTCACTTGCTGTGATTATTTCAAACAGGTTGTTTTCAACATCATACTTCTTGGCTATAGGAAAGAAATAAGGAAGTCAGCTATGAGTGATCAAAGTCTTGCATTTAAAATGTTTCTTCGTTAACATTCTGTAAAGGGATTTGCCTCCTTTCTAAAGCCATGCCTGGCCATACCTTTGTAAACAGTTTGCAAAATTAGGCCAATGAAATCTGTCACTGTTTCAGAGTAATAAAATATGAATTCTGCACATTTCACCATTACTTCAATGGAGAAGAGAATGCATAGAGTGAATGTTTCTTGTTCCTTGCAGCAATACTAACCATTGCTCTTCCCACAGCTTCTAGTTTTGGGAAGGAACAGAATGTATAGAGTAGCAATTCACTGGCACTACCATTTGTAACCTAAAGTTTCCATCAAAAAAACAAACTAAAAAGAGAGCTCAGCTTATTTTTTTTCCTGTGGCCAGTTATCTTAACATAGGGATGCCAGGTCATCATTTTGACTAGTCTAAACAACCAACAAAGCACAAGATATCTTTTGTTGCTAACAAAGCACAAGATGCCTTTATCACAATACCTTCCTCTAGTAATTAAAGATAAACGAGTAATTAGAACAATTACTGAATTGTTGCAAATAGATTGTTTCTGAGTAAAAAAAAATTCACTTGTGATTTTTGGCAGATTGAAAGAATGCACCAAAACCCTATAACAGCTCTTTCACTATGATTCCTTACAGTCTGGCATATCTTCCACTGCAGTGACCACGCAGCCCCTCAAGTGGATTGCTCCTAGTGGATCTTCTCCCTGGGAAAGATACAAAACCAATATAAAATACAACACTCCTGAAACTCTTCACATCTCAGTAGCTGACTACAACTCCATAATGGAAACAAAAACATTTGGTGACGAAGCGTGTCACCTTAGAAAACCAGGGATCCTCAGCCAGTGTAATATGAAGGGTAAGGGGCGTGCACAAACCTGTAAATAAGACACCTCTTTTGGAATTTGGAATTCAGGATCTGCAGAGTATTTTGCATGTCCTGAATAATGGCATGGAAAGAATATAAACCACCTTGTTCCAACTATAGGCTTTCCTTTTCATGGTGAAAAGAAGGTTAATTAGAAAGAAGAGTGGATCTTAGAAAGTTTGTCTGCTTAATTAGAGAAAAAACAAAGAACAGCAGGAGCTGTTATAACTTCAACTATTTTTCCTTCTTTCATGTTTCTAGACTGTGATAGCCAAAGAATGGATGAAGAAGCACTTCTGCTAGCATAAGCCTGAAACAAGCATTTCTTATGAGCTGACACTTCAGTCTTTTGGGAGGAAGAGCCAGGAGTGGGGAAAACACACTGGAAATGGAGGTCAAACTCTTCAGCGTTGACTCCCCATTGTGTCTAAGCTGCTTCTGCCAAGCAGGACAGGCACAGTGGGGAACCTGTAACCCACAAGAACAGCACTGCTCCTGCAGCTGCAGCTGTCCCTGACAAAATGAACACGCACAATGGGCTAAACCCATATAGACACCTGCTTTTGAGGGTAGGTTTTTTCTGCAGTGATGCCCCTTCCTTTCTCAAAACAGTATTTGGTCTATTACAATTACATGAGAAACAAAATGCCATATATCAGTCTGACATGGAAAATTAGAAACTGCAAAGTGACTGTATTGCCTTAATTTGCTCTTTTCAACTTGTTCATTTCCAATTGACCACAGAGAAGAGGTGAGAGCACAGTTCAGTACTGACTGCTCCCAAGTCTGGATGTCACTTGCCACCCTGACATGCCAGCCCCCAAAACCATCATTCCTTCTTACTTTTCCAGAGTGGCCAGGTAGTCTGAACACAAATTGCCCCATTGTCCTGCCTGGCATTTTTAATCACACATTCCTAAGCAAATACTTCACTCATATTGCTAGAAGAGGGCAGCCTGAAAAGCAAACAAAAAAACTAACCAAACTTCAGCAATAACAACAACAAAAATATATAACCCCAAAGCAAAACTGCCAAACAAACAGTAAAATAATTCAAAGTTGACCAAACATGTCTTACTCCAGCAGGATCATAGTAGTGAAGATACGCAGGGTCCTCTCTTAAAACAAACTTCCTCACTTTCCAGTTTTTCCTCCGATGCCCCTAGAAAAATTCAAAAGCACAAATATCATGAACTGCCTTCCCTGCAAATGCTTGTGGCCAACTGTGCAATTATAATTGCACATATATATAATCATTGCTATTAGCAGCCGGGCTCAGATCCTAACGTTTCTCCACAGCATCCCTGGCTGGATGGCTGAGGAAGCTTTCATGCCAATTCACAGCCTTCTAGCAATGCCATTCTGAGGCACCCAGCCCTCCTGGGGCTCCAGGCACTGTACCTTACCTCTAGGGGCTGCCCTCAGAGCATAATATCAGCATGTGGATTTAGCTCCAAATGCCAATTTGCAGGCATCCAAATATTAACAAAAGTCACCTCAGCCTTTAGTCTATCACCTCCAATCAATCAGTGTTGTTTAAGTGCATTCAAGCTCTGGGAGATCTCATCCTATAGCTCAGTTTGGGCCAGCTGGTCACCTCACGGACTCCTACTGGTCACAGGGACCCTAGGCATGCATGGACTACATCCAGCTCTTCTAGTTCTGCCCTTTGTTCTTCCTGGAAGATAGGAAATCTCCCTTCCAGCACATATGACCATCCTGACATTCCCAGCCTGAACACGATGAGTCACCAGAAAAGCTGCAGGGAAGACAGACTGGGTGACATTCCAGGGCATCAGATCTGGAAGCATTTCAGGAAGCTGAAACACTGACTCATTTTACAGCACTCACAATGTAACTGCAGTAACACCATTACACAGCAGGTCTAGATTCTCCCCATCCATCACTCCAGTCTTGAAAACAGACATAATCAGCAGAAGCAGTGGTCCCTACCATGAGCCACAGTTCACTGAGGGTGACCAAATCCAGATTAATTGGTAAAGAACATCATGAATCATTTCCTCTCAGCATTTCAAAATATTAGTTTCTCAACTAACTATTGCTGCTTGCAAACAAGTTCCTACTAACCAGGCCGAGGTGAATGTGACAGGGTAAACGTTAGCAGAAACACTCATACCTAATTTCTTCTGTTGCTTTTGGGAGAGGCTAGAGAGCCTAGAAGGTGTGTGGTACCAACCTGTTTTAATAAACATCCTTGTTTGACTATCATGCCTCTGAATTCTTCTTTCAGGACCACATCATCATCACTAGAATTCCCCTCACAGAAAAATCCACTGTCAGGCTGCATGATCACAAGAGAACATTAAGTAGTTACACAAATGGTACACGTTTATACATAATGCATGAGCCTTCCTTCCACTCTGTTTTTGATACCTAAAAAACCCAACTCTTTTACTGAAAAACATTCCAGTAAAGTTGAGGACCTCTCCACGTCACACTGGAAGCATTTCAGATTGAGGACTATGAATGCAGGTCTTTGGGCATCTGAAGAGAGCTGGAGCACCTGCATGCATCGCAGCTTACATAAAGCAAAGCTGGCACAGCCAATACATTTTGGGCTGCTCATTCCCCAACCCAATGTACCTCTCCTCTTCCTACATCAAGCATAGCATCTGAGATTTGGGAAAAAGAAGAAGAAATGTTTCCATCCAGGCTGTCTTGTCCACACCAGATAATTCGTGATGCTGCTTAGCGAAACTATGTAGTTCAAATGGTATGAATGAAGGTAACCATTTGTACTGCATATAGTAAGCTTTTGTACTTCCAATTCACATGAAAACAAGCCAGATGCTGACCTGGAGTTTCCTCCCTCAGACCACGTTGGTACTGAAACAAACTAAAAGCAAGCTGAAAGCAAGCAGAGTGCACAAGGGCTATCAGAAGTGTGGTGGGTAGCCAGGAACCACAATGGCTACATGGTTGCCTTCACCAGCACTGCCAGTGCTTCTGCACAGGTATCACAGAGATATTCTTGAAAAACAAAGCAAGCAATGGGAAATTCATTTTGGTGAAGGAGGATGATTGTGTGGTAAGTATAAACAGAACTGTAAAACTGAAGCAACTTTACACGACAGTAAGAATACTCTTTGCAAGCATAAGTTCATAAGCCAAGCATTTTGAAAACAGTATTTGACTGTGATTGCAATATTGCAAAGTTCTTCATATTCTGTGGACTGATTTGAAGAAATAAAGTGAAAAGATTGGTTAAGCCACCCAGGACAGGGGTTACGAGGTAGATATTGAAAACTTTTGCTTCTTGGCTCATAGGCAAGCTCTGCTTGCATGCATGTGAACTGAGTCACATCTGATGGCTCTGAGCACAAAAGTGTGTTTCCAGCTTGAGCTGCTCTAAGAAGCCTCATGATGATGAATTACTCTCTTCCCTTCTACTGAATCATCATCAGAGGAGCTGGTGGCCAAGTCTTGGTTACTGCTGAAATTACTGGGAACAAAGCCTAAGCTAAAAAGAACCCAGTTTGATCTCTGTACTCAGTTCAGACAGAGCAACAGAAGAACTGACCTCACAAATGTTAAAGTGAGTCAGTTTATTCTGAGCGTCACACAGAGAAAGATATTTAACATGGAATTCTCAAGCCTGATAAGTGTATCTGGAAACCAGAAACAAAGGAAAACCCGTACGACACTCACAAAGTAGTAATAGGCATCACTAAGATCCAGGAAAGGGGTATCTGACAGTCCCTCAGCTGCAGCCTTGGATGTATCTCCTGCAGGCTGCAGGTAGCCTTCATTCAAGAGAGAGGAGGCAAGCATGAGGCCTTCTTTGCGATTTCGGATGGAGTTGCTAGACACCAGCCAGTCAATCACAGCAGTGCCTGGTTATAAAGGAATTAATAATATGAATATCAGCCACAAACCAAGACAAACACACAGAAACCTTATATAAAAAAGATCACCACGGGCAACAAATCCACTCCATCTAAACATAAATCTCCTGAAAGATATTCTCAGTGATAATGCAGAGAATTAATCTGCAAAGGTGCCTGTGTCATTCAGTGAGGTACAGCTAATCCAACTGATGTCCTGAGCCAATACAACTCCTGAATACTGTACTTCCAGGAGAAAAGAGCTGGGAAAAGATGCAGGGTTGAGCTGGGAAGCTTCAGCAGGAGGGACAGGAAAAGCCAGGCCTGGAGAAGATAGTCTTTCAAGCTGCAGTGTTACTGATGCAGTGTTGTAGAAAGAGGTTGACATTCAAGCTTAGCATCCACAGATTTGACTTGGAGCAGGACAGGAATTAAAACATGACACAGTTTGTTGTAGAAAAATTTAGTGAGAAACAGTTCTTCTGGAATTGTTTCACACAACTTTCTAGAAAGATCTATTTCAATCTTGTTGAGAAAATCATTTGATTTTTCTGCTGCCCTGTGACTATATCTGAACCCTCTCAAGCTTCATCCTTCGAGCATGTCCCACAGTGGTCAAGATGACCTCTGCCAGGCTTCCCTCTCAAACTTTTTTCACAAGCTGTACTCTAAATAGCTTAGAGCTCTTTTAGTCTATCTTTAGACTCTTAGTCCTGTGCTCCTTTTATTGAATGGAAAAAAAAAAAACAAAACAGGACAAGAGCTCCTTACCTGTAAAGCAGTGATTGAACACTTTTTTATCTTTTTCCAGCTTCAATTCCTTTATTCCCTTTTCAGGATCTTTCATTGAGAGGTACAAAGCACTGTGCATAAAACAAACAAACAACAAAAACTGTTAGCATGTTAAAAGTTATATCTAACTGTTATAGAAATATTCTTTCACAGGATCTTCATATTTTGCTAGCATAGTGCTCTCTCTGCAGTGCTACAGCATGGCTTAGTATTTTTGTCCTGAGAAGCTTTCTGTGCAAAGCATGGAGGCTTCACCATCGCCATCACAAATATAAGAATGGTGCACAAAGGCCTCATCATTAATTACCCCCATTTTGAGGCTGTTCCAGCTTGTGATGACTGTAGTTTGAGCAAAATACCTACTGTGGAGGCTACTTGAGCAGAAAGCCTGTGACTGGGACATCCCTAAAGCCTATATGCTCTCAGAAGCCCCAAGTAACCTCAGTGACTCCTGATCTGACTTCCTCTCTCCCATCTGCTTTTCACTTGCTCAAAACTAATTCTCTGAGGTTCTTAAATGAGAAGGACAAACACTAAGTGTCACAGGCTAAATTCTTCAGCTTTTTATTCAATCAGGGTGATCCTCTGATGAATCCAGAGAAGACATTTAGTTGGATCATTGCCCCTTATTGTTTCACTGCCCTGTAAGAAGGACCACAGGCTCACTTGTATCTTTGTATTTGTTGCTCAGAGACAAATATCACACTGATCTGTACTGACAAACAGATGGTATCTTGAGTGTGCCCTTTATATTTCCTTCTCCCTTTGCCAACTCCAAGTACTCTGGCAGGCACTGTCTTCATCATGCAAAAACCACTGCTAACAGTAGTATTTGTCCAGAGATAAAATAAATATAAAAACATTTTTACACTAAATTCTGTACAGTGTGAAAATGCTTCTCCTAGAAGAATCACATGTGATGTTGCAGTGTACTCAGAAGCCTGCTCATAAGCAAAATCCTTCGTCAAGTCAGCTTGTTTTTATAAAAGATAAAGCTTTAAAAAAGATCTTCCCAGTTCTCACCACAAGTTATTTTTTGCCATGCTGAAACTGTCAGTTATGCAGAAAGGACTCCAAGGGAAACTGGATAGGTAGCACAGACAGACATGCTAATAGCTCTTCCATGCTGAGGTTACTTCCCTCTGCAGGCAATGGCAGATATGTAAACAGAGGAGCAGAGCTACAAGAGCATACCTCAAGTTGATTGTTTCAGGCAGTCTAATGGATTTTCTTGTGGATTTCCTGGCAAATCTTTGACCTCCATCTATGCACTGAATTGCCTTTTTGATATCCCGTACCCAAGCATCTCTCTCTTCCAGGTAGGAGGCTTGAAAAAAGTGGTCTTGTTGCTTGGCTGCAGTGAGCTTGAAGACAAACTGGAAGGATAAACAATGGTTTTTTTCCAAGTTACTTTAGTGTAGCTGGTGTCACCTGGTGTCACCATGGCATACAGTCTCCCTAAGGGGCTTTGGAGAGTGCCTTAGAGCCACAGTCAAATAAAATAATTCTAAAGGAAAGCCTAGACAGGCAGTACAGATAATGGACTTTTGTTACTTTCCAGCTAGAGCTAGCATCAGCAAAAATGAGTGGCACTGATATAGCTGATGATTTTAACATTTGCTGGCAAGTTCAACATAGCTGAAAGACTGAAGCACCCATCCCCTGCAAAATTACATGGGTGTAAACCTCTCTCACTATTTAGAGATGTGGTCAGTCTGGAGTCGAGACAGTAACAAAAAAACAAACCACATCATATTGCTTAGAGAGAAGAAAACTGTCACATCAGAGAGTAGCCACACTTGTTTGCAGTCTAGCACACTTCTAAAGGTTTGGTAGGGAAATGATAAATCCAACTCTTAGATACACATCATGATCACTGCCTTTCTAAACACACTGACGCCATTGGAAAGCCCGTATTCACACAAAATGAGAACAGATCTTTTAAAGGCAGAACTAGACAGAGAAGGAAAAAAAACAACACCAACTTGGGGAAAAAAAAAAAAAAAAACCTCAAAGTTCAGACTGTTTGATCTTGCTTTCATCCAGTGACCTTTCGGATGGAAAATCCAGGTCAAATTACTCAGACAAGAGGACTTCCATTTCCTCTAAAATACAACTCCCTGTAAGAGGAACTGTTATGTTTTCCATAGTTGTACAAGAATAAAAACCTCAGTAGGCATCAAAATGGAAACATCAAGCTAATAAGGGAGCAAACAGCATGGATACATAGGGACAAGTAGAGGGCACAGAACAGTGGATCTATAGCAATGAAATCAAGACTCTGAATAATCAGTTGTCTCCAATCCTAGAAGTGAACAAACTCCTTTCTGGAGAAATATATCCATTTGTGCTTTTGAGAAAATTAGAGCATTAGCTTGAACTAAACACCAACGTAATAAATGAATCCCGCTATAAAGAACCATACATGATAATGCCATCCAGAGGAAGAGAGAGGAAGAAGGAATATAGCAGAATTAACATCACATTCAGCAATGATAAAGATTTACATCAAGACCAGTAAGCAGTGGTGAGTGCATTTTGCAATTAAAATCATTAAATACGCAGTCACAGCCTTTTGGGAACAAGCTTTATCTGTCTAACAAATCCAAGATTACTTCCCTTCCCCTCAACATCTGCTTTTTGCAGCTGACTTACCAAACTAAGTATGCTGGTGATTTGCACCTTTGAGGTTTCGGACTGTATCACTGCATTGAGGCCTATCTTACTCAAACAGCTGAAATCTGACCAGAGGAACATGGAAGTCTGCTCACAGCTCAATATTCCCTGCCCCAGTGTGAATCCAAATAAGACTAGACTTAAAACAGACCTAATTAGAATTATCCCACTTCTTACCCTACAGAAGTCTTGAGCCAAAACTATACTTCCTTTAGTGCTATAAATGTACTCAAGCCACTATGAACCAGAATAATTCCCATAAGCTGCACAGCTGTATGTTTTAGCATACAATTAACTAGAATGCACAATGCGATACAGAGGCTTTGAATTCAGCTGCATAATGTTGATGTAAAATATCAAAAAATAAAGTTCCTATATTTTCAAGGAATATATGCAGTAATTTAATCATGTTGGGCAGCAACTACTAGTAAGAACAATCCCAATAACAGCACTGCTTGCATGAATGAGTATGTTGCAGTTTTGACTGTTTGAGAAGTGCAAACTTGCACTTCTTCAGGGCTGCTGGTCTATGGACTTGCAGAGAGACCTCACTGACCTAGCAAAGAGGATCTGCTCCAACACCTAATGAAGTCACTGGCATCACTTCCACTGGCTTTAACAAACTGCATCAGATTTTACTTCTGAAAAAGCACATGCCTTGTCTTCCTGATCTGATTCTGAACGCTTCGGACCCCTCTGCCTATTTTGGGAGTGCACATGGAACCACTACAGAACAATAATGATTTTATCAGGACTTCAAACACACACACACAAAAAAAAACTGTCCAGAAAAAAATGCTTTATAAGGAAAAAATGAATGTCTAGTACTGTATTGTAGGATCTGATACTCCAGAACACAGTATCCCCCTCCCACATATAGAGCAAGGAGAGCTGTACAGAGGGCTCTTAATTAGATAATGTAGAGATATAGTTTCAAACTGATAGAACCAAATGTGTACAGATATACTGTGTTCCTTCATTTGGTTATTTAATGTTCTTCCCCTGTGCTCTAGTCCCTGGATGTAATTACACTTCACCTTTATTGTTCAGGGTTTGCAAAAGAGGTGAAGTCAAGTGCAGTAATGCAGAGCTCTGGCTTGCACCTATCCTTGCTGAAGCAGAAGATCAGATCCAAAGTTGCAGGGGTTACCAGTAAGGCTTGCCCAGCCTCGCTAGAGGCTGAGTAGGGCAGAAGCTGTCAGCAAGGAGGAGTAGATGGCTTTGGTCTCAAATGTTTCTGAATCAACTGAATGCTCTCCCTTGCCAGCTCAGGTATTGCAGTATCTATGATGAGCTTGGGAGAAGGATACACGATCATAAAATTCTCCTTCTAGACACAACAGTCCAGTCTCCTCCTGGATTAAATACATCATTCTTTGATCCTGGAAATCCTGTTTTACCAACATGTATATTTCAGGAACCCTATGGCAAAACAAGTATTCTTACACAATCATTTTCCTGCTTTTAATTTTCTTTCAAGACCTTGAATTTACCAATATCATGATACGTGTATCTCATTGGGAACTTGGGCCTTACCTTGCTTGCTGTGCTTGCCCACAGAGAGCCCAAATGCATAGCATCATTTAAACTGATTTCTCCAAATCAGTTTTGGTTTTTCACTCTGAGTAAACACGTAGCTCTTAGTCATAGGTAAAAGCTCTACATATAACCACACAACATGCAAATAAAACAGATTATATGAATATGAACTACCTGACCTCATGTACTTACTGAATGGTAATGAAACAGTTTGGAATCACAGCTTTTTTAGGGTGTTCGTATCTCAGCATTTATCTCCCTCCTTCCCAAGCAAGCTAGTCAGTGTTCTTTGGCAATAATTACATTTTTCCAAAGCTCATGAGACAGTTTACCACAATTTTATTCTGTGGCTATTGGCACCATGAAAATACAGTTTAGATCCACTATGATAGAGTCAGAAATGCAAACAACTGCTTTCTGAACCGTTCCTCTTGAAATATCCTGAGTTGTTCCTCAAGCAGTCGCACCTTTCAAACACTACAGAAGTCCAAGGCTGCTTGTGACCTTCTAAGACCAATGAGAGTGATTACCAGGATATGAATAAGGAATCTAACTACCAGCCTTGTGCCCTTTTAGAACCTTCAGGAGTTTAAGTATACTGTCAATCATAGCTACTAGAAAAGAAGTACTTACCATTCTTTTTCCAAAATCTTGGCATGGGCTGTTGATGGTGCTTCCTTTTAGTGGGATCATCCCTTTGGGGCTGTTGTCAGACTTCCGCTTGTAGAATTCAATTCCATCTTCTAAGAGCACAACCCACATTGGCTTCCAGGTATTAAACATGCTACCCTGCATTGAGAAATCACCGTTCACATGATATCCACTGAAGACATGATCTTGCACAGAACATCTGACTCTAAATTAATTATCATGTCTCAAGGGGAACACTAAACCACAACCGCACCCATCTTACTATGCAGTTAAAACACACTGTTGTTATTCTTCTGACCCCCATTTACTTCCTCTTCCAGTGGCCCCACCTGTGAGTTTTTCCAACATTTTCCCAGTAGACATTTCTTTTCAGAATCAGTTTGTCCCAGCCAAGTTGATTCAAGATGACAGCCAGCAAGGTGAGGGAGGTGATCCTGCCCCTCTGCTCTGCATTGTCAGACCTCACCTGGAGCACTGCATCCAGATGGGGAGTGCTCAGTACAGGAGAGACATGGAGCTGTTGGAGAGTGTCCAGAGGAGGGCCACAAAAATGAGCCCAGGGATGGAACACCTCACTGCAAGGACAGGATGAGAGCTGGGCTGTACAGCCTGGAGAAGGGAAGGATTCCGGAGACCCGAGAGCAGCCTTTCAGTATCTGATGGAGGGCTGTGAGAAGAAAGGGGACAGACTCTTTAGCAGAGTCTGTTGTGGTTGGGCAGAGAGAAATGGTTTCAAACTAGAAGTGGGGAGATTTAGATGGGATATAAGGAAAAAGGTGGTTTTTTTTTGTTTTTTTTACAATAAAAGTGGCAAGGCAGTGGAAGAAGTTGCCCAGAGGTGCCATAGATGCCCCAACCCTGGAGACTTTCAAGGCAAGGCTGGACCAGGCCCTGGGCAATCTGATCTAGCTGTAGAGGTTTCTTTGCAGGGTTGTTCAACTAGGTGAAATTTTAATAGTCCCTCAAGTGATACTATGATTCCAAGTTTGCAGAGGATTTCTTGACTTAGGCAAATAGTAATGAGTAGTTTAAGGTTCTTAGGGTGCAGATCCCTAACCGCTGTGGTGAGAATTTGAGGTGCTCCATTTCATCTCTTGAAGTTTTTACTTCCTGTTTCTAAATAACAGTTTTTAGACAATGAAATATAGAGAAAGCCAGGGCCAGAACCTACATACAGTGAAATAAATGGCCAAAGTCTCAGGGACTCAAAGAGGAACTATCTGTTTCTCTGTGCTCAGTTCACGTGATCAAGCGCTAGAATTAAGAACCTGGTCTCTAGCTAGCTCAGCCTGCCTGCAGACAGCTTTAAAAACAGTCACAATCCCAGACACTGAAGTGACTTCTCATCCAAATGAACATTTAGATATGCTGAATATCAACAGATTCTCTGAAGAATTACTGAAGAGCACCAGACATACATGGTGCCGAATTCTTTAAAAATATTAGTTGTCCTTAGTCTTTCCAGCACAAAGAGAGACCCCAGTTTATCCTCCCTCCCTACCATGGTGGCTGGACAGTGTTAAAGCTGCAGATAGAAGCAAGGCAGACACCATCACACTGCGCAAAGTGGCTTGTTTTGATCTTCAGACATGAGAGAGGGACTGCACTAGCTGCATTTGCATTTCTACACACATGAATGGGACAGAAAAACCATCCTCCTTTTTTCCCACCCCACCATTCCCCAAATATAGCCTTTCACCATCACATCCTTCTTCCTACTCTACCTTCTATGGCCTTTCACACTCTGCATCAGATCTTACATTCAACTATAGGGTGAAGATGGAAAACTGTCAGCAGAGATGTTACTAAGAATGGGACCTGCTCCCAGCCCTGCAGCCCTCACTGGAGGCAGAAGGATCCCCACAAGTGAATGCTACCTTCTAAAGGAAAAATCACTGTGCTGGGGGCTTTCTAGAAACCCAGCTGAACAAGGAGTTGTCTTGGATATGGATTGCACATAGGGATTGAATGCTGTTTCCTTTAGTTTGATTTTTTGCTTGTTTAAGCTGTATGAATTTATGCTGTATGAATTAAGCTGGAGAATGTGAGTGGACCCATAGGTTGAACTTCTGCTAAGGAATCAATTAAGATGCTGAGCCAAGACTTGAGCCACCACACAATCTTTTTATTTGCCAGTCTACCACGTCTTTTTGATATTTCTGCTAATACTTTCTGAATATTCTGACGTGCCCTGCCAATAGAAGTCACTGCACAGCTGGGTTAGACTGGCAGCTTCACGTCCACCGTCAGCAAGCCCAAGTGTGGTCATGGTGATCTCAGCTGAAACAGCTCATGAAAAACAAGCAAGGATGCTGCATTTCATTTTGTTGTACTAAAAATCAAATCAACTCGTCTGCTCCAAAAACTTCATATAAAGATGGATGTTCTCTGAATTGGTCTCTCAAATCATTAGCTGCTTTAAAAACTCATACTATCTCTCTTTGGTAGAACAATTTTAAAAAAAAGATGAGCCGTTTTCTGTGCTTGCTCAGAAGATTACACAAAGCCACCACAAATACACTTAAGATGACATAAAACCAACACTGAATGCATACGTAATAGAGGTCACGTTGTACCAGCTAAAACACTGACCCTCAAGCATGTTCCCATGATGCAAATTAGAAAAAAAGAGAGCCAGTGAAAAACAGCCTTCACCCTTAGCAAAGACAACTTTGGCTGTGCAAGTGACTTGTCTGGGAGGTGTGTTCCATAGCTTCACTTTAGAAGCGTAACAAAAAAGAGGAGAGTACTTCAGTAGCAGGTAAGATTGATTAGGACTTTGCCCATCCTGGCTGGAAGCTCTATTTACAGAATCCACTGCAGTCTTACTGATAGATCAAACAGCTGCTACCAGTCTGGTCTGCATCTTCTCCTTTTGCCCTCCAGCCTCCATTTGGCACACCGCTGCTCTTCACCATCAACACAAACTCACTTCAGCAAGGACAGAACCACCTTACAGAAAAGGGGCACAACTTCCACTTCTCTCCTGCTACTGAAACAGCATGCAGCAGCAATTTTCCATTAGCAGTACCCACACAGAGAGACTTCTTGGCACCCAGCATCCACAGGAATGGCAGGAACTCACACTGGACACCTGCACACATCTTCTCCCTGGCATGCCCAGCCAGACACAGTGTTTGTGTCCAAGTTTCTAGCCATTCTCTTGCCATGGAAAAATACAGATTGTGAGCCACTTGCTTAAAGTATTGGACCATGAGAACTAGAGAGAACTGCAATCTGCCGTGAGTGAATTTGATCATCTCCTTCCTCATGGCAGCATCAGTTCAGCTTTGAGATTACTGTATAAACTCGCCTACTTCCAGCGTCAATGGAAATAAGACTGAGGAGTGGCCTCTGTGCAGCAGTGGCTGCAGATTAGAAAACTCTCCAGCCAACAGCTCTAAGGAGGGGAATTCTGGTTTTGATGAGCTGAGACCCCACAGCAGAGCTCCTCCCTTGCTCCAGAATTGACTTTGTTTAAGCTGCTGGACACCAGACTGATCTCACTAAGGATTTCAATAAAAGTTGTAACCTCATCCTTGTGCATGGTCCCACAGGCTCTCCCTGTTTTAGGGATAGCAGCGTGCTTCTCTAATATTTCACTCTCTGATGAAGCATAGTAGAATAGGCTCTGGTCATTTTGAGCTGTTACCTATTTTACCAAGCTTCCAGCCAAGGCATTTGTGTTTCTTAGTAAATATATATATATATTTGACCCAGAAGTACTGTAGGATAAATACAGAAATGCCTCATCATATAGTACTCTAACAAGGTATAACTGCTAGCAGTACTTCTGTAACCACTATAATCACATGGTTTTACTATTCACAGAACTGTCTTCATTCACCTTCATTTTTAGGAAAAAAAAAAAAAAAAAGCCTTTTTAATTTTAAATAACTGAAAACAAAGCACATTTCCCTACACTTCCCCAACCTGCTCAGTCAGCTCTCTCCTCCACTTCGCCCAAGGCTGCCTGCTTACCTTCTTGACCAAGTAGCCCTCCCTTATGCGCATCGGCTCTCGCTCCATGTTGCAGGCAGTCCTGCTCTCAGGTCTATCAGAGCCAGCAGTTAAGCTCCTCTGGTAACAAACTCTGCGGGGTGGGGTTTTTGGTTTTTTTTTGGTTTTTTTTTTACAGTACAGCTGTGTCACTTTCACAAGTTCCTCTGCCTGCTAATCACATGAAAACAAGCCCATTTCCTCTTACAGAGTGAGAGATAGGGAAACATAGAAGCATGAGCGTATTTATAGGTCGCCTCTGACAGAACAGGCAACTGCACAACAAGATGCTCAACTCTATCAAGCACTGCCAGCCTTGACGACAGAGTCCTGGGAAATTAAATAAGCACTTTAATGTCTAATCCTAATGAAGAAAGTGCACACAAGAACTCTGGCAAAACAATGGGGGGTGGTGTATCACGTGGCTTTGTGCTTACCAAAAGGATCTCTCTCTCAGTTTCTAACTCACTAGCTCTGTTACTTCATACCACCTTTGAAGCCTTATTCCTGAGGCACAAGCACGTAGGGTTTGGCAGTAAGCAGCAAAGCCTTTGCTTCGTTAATGATGCTGCGCCCTCTGCTGATATAAGAAATCAGGATTTTAATACTGAGACTTCCCAAACTGGTTAGATGTCAAAATATCACTTCCTACATGCATCTTTTATTTGTTACACAGCCCATTTGGTAATGTTTGTTAGAAAATAAGATAAAAACATTTTCCAACATTGGGTATTATAGCAGTCACACTCCCTCTTTCCCATACAGAAGGAAGGATGGTGCTACACAGGAGGCAATGAAGAAGCTGATGCAATGCCAAGAGCAATTCTGTCCTGAACAAGATTCCAAATCACACTTACAGCTAAGCCCACTTAGTCTGGGGCCAAACCCAGGGTAAACTCAACCTCAGCCACTTGCAAAGGTCTTTTGACCTGACAGGCACAAGGCCTGGAGCTTCCTCCAAATAGCAGCATCATTATTACAATAAAAAAGAGGTCTTCTGCTGGCTGGGATGCTCCTCTGAACTCCAGGATCAGGTCAGCAATCCTGTTAGCTCTTTATGAAGTTGCTGCAGTGTTCCTACCAGACAAGGTCCACAGCCAAATGACCTGCTCTAAGCTCTCTCAAACCATTCTCATCTA